TGGGTTGTAGCCCACGAAAGCTTATGCTCTAATAAATTTGTTAGTCTCTAAGGTGCCACAAGTACTCCTGTTCTTTTTAAAAGAGCAACACTCTGATGCAGAAACTACAGAACCCGAGCCACCAAAAAAGAAAATCATCCTTCTGCTGGTGACATCTGACTCAGATAATGAAAAATTAACATGCGTTGGTCTGCACTTTTTTGGATTGTTATTGAGCAGAACCCATCCTCAGCATGGACATATGTCCTCTGGAATGGTGGTTGAAGCATGAAGGGACATATGAATCTTTAGCAAATCTGGCACGTAAATATCTTGCAATGCTGGCTACCACGGTGCCATGCGAATGTCTGTTCTCACTTTCAGGTGACATTGCAAACAAGAAGTGGGCAGCATTATCTCCTGCAAATGTAAACAAACTTGTTTGTCTGAGTAATTGACTGAACAAGAAGAAGTACTGAATGGACTTGTAGGATCTAAAATGTTACATTGTTTTATTTTTGAATGCAGTTATTTTTTGTACATAACTCCACATTTGTAAGTTTAACTTTCATGATAAAGAGATTGCACTATAGTACTTGTATTAAATTAATTGAAAAATACTATTTATTTTATTTTTACAGTGCAAATATTTATAATAAAAAATAAATATTAAGTGAGCACTGTACACTTTGTATTCTGTGTTGTAATTGAAATCAATATATTTGAAAATGTGAAGAACATGCAAAAATATTTATATAAATGGTATTCTATTATTGTTTAATCGCAGGATTAATTGTGATTGATTTTGTTTAATCGCTTGACAGCCCTTATTCTTATGTCTCATTTTGTAAGCAAGTAGTATTTGATTGAAGTGGAACTTGGGATACACAAGACAAATCAGGTTCTTGAAAGGGGTACAGTAGTAGTTACCAACTTTCGCATGGTAAATAAGCACGCCAAATTTCACAATAAGCCAAAAATCAAGCTAATCCCATTTCAAAGCAAGGCCAAAACAAGCCAGTCCCTAAGAACCCCAACACTCTATGTGACTAGATCGCCCCCAGCATGCAGTCTGGGACTGTGGTGGTCCTGCTGTGCACCCCTGACACTCTCTCCCCTGCTTGCCGGGAGCTGGTCAAAAAAAAGCAACAAGCTACAAGCCAAAAAAGCTACAAGCCAAACAAGCAACACGTTACAAGCCAAAAACTAGCCAACAAGCAACTCACAAACCAATTAAGTCAAAAACAAGCCCAATTTCTGCGTTTTTTCACGGGTTTGGCATGTCTGTACAGTAGTCTGGAAATGTTGAGAACCACTGATTTAGATTATCAGCCTCAGACATTGCTTACCTTCATGTCGTATTGTACCTATCATTTTGTTGGCCAAAGAGAGCTGAATACAGCTATCAGCATCACTTCTGAATAGTCTGGAGTGGTGTCTGCAGAACATAGAATACGCTTTCCAAAGGAGTGAGCAACCATTTATTTTCTTTCAGTAATCATTCCTTACATTACTTCCCTGTTAGTGGCCTCACTGGTTTTTTATTTGTCATGCTTCTAATATTTTAATAATACACAATAAACTATAATGGCCATCAATTAGGTAATATGCTTAATAAAAAAATTAAAACAGAAAATGCTACATGGGCAAATCTTTTTAATAGTTTGTTTTAACTGGCAAAATCTGAGATTGAATTTCTAACTTTGGGGTGTGCTTCTTTCATTTCACACTGAGAAAAAAAAAGCCACTTAACTTTTGAGTAGTTTGACTTTTGTTAGTTGAATCTAGATCTTTGAGGAAATACAGTTTTGTGTTCTATTATAGCTGTAGATGAGGTGGTCTGCGTTCAGTTGGAAATCCTGCTTTCCACAGTTTTGTACTAAGATGGGCATAAACTTATTGATTGAATCATAGCATGAAAGGTCTTGAGTGTTTTTTATTCATTTAAATGTTAGATTTTTGAAACTAGATAAGTTATCACTGTGTACACAAGAAAATAATTTTCATATGGGTTTTGAACATGCACGTTAGTCCCTGAAGAGCCCTTTAAATGACAGACCAATCATAGCCAAATGTTCTGTTCTGAACCATCACGAGAATAATTCACCACTTTTTAATGTTTTTAAAAGGAAGAAACACTTTACCAGTATAAGGCTTAAGGAATAAACTTTATATTAAATATTAATGAAACATGATAAATTTGAATGAGGAAAATAAGCCTTAAATTAATACATTTTTTTAAAGAAAACCCACAGTTTTAATGTAAAAATACATAAATGATAAATGGTATTATTCAGCTCTGAGTTGTATGTTATAGTAAACTGCCTAAATACAGCCTTCTGGTATGCTGTGTAAATGTCTTTAATATTTGTACCTACATATTACCTTTCATTGGAGGATCTTAAAAAAGTTTACAAATGTGGGTAAGTGTTATTTTCCCTGTTGTACAACAGGGGAAACTGAGAATCAGTGACTTAACTGCAGGTATGGCAGAAGTTCAGATGAGTTTAGGTATAAAATGCAGGCTTCCGACACTAGACGTGCTGCTTCCTTTGTCTGACTGTGATATCTCAAATTTTTCCAGTCTCTTGTTAAATTGAATGCACTTTTAATGTCTCAAATTATTTGTAAATCCCCGGTGAAATGTAAAGTAAACTGTTACAAAAACCCCTTTAATTTAAACATACTTTTTTTGTATAAATTATAGGGTCTGACTAAGTAAACTCTAGACATGCTGCACCCATGCTGTAAGTGCTAGGTTAGATTAGTTATGTCATGTGTATTTGTGGATATAATTATTTTTCTGGAAAAATAATTAAAGCAGTAAAAGTATTACCTGCTTGTTAGAAGAGGAAAAACAAAACAAAAAATGACAACAAAAAACACTGGTCTATGAACAATCACTTATTGGGTTCAGAGATAAGCATTTGAAATTTCATCACAAAATGATTTTTTAAGAAATTCTGAGCAAGTGAAAATAGGGGTGAGAATGCAGTCTCACGGAATTTGCAACCACGGTGCTATTTGTGTATTTTAAATACAAGGTATAAATAAGATTGACAACAGCTGCTACCTCCTTCAGTGAAAAGTATTTAGTGACATATTATTGAAAAAGGATGTTTCATTTGTTTTACTTTATTTAGAAAAGGAAGACCAGTGTCTCATGCCTGAAGCCTGGAATGTGGACCAGGGAGTAATAACCAAACTCAAGGAACAATACAAAAAGGAGCGCAAGGGAAAAAAGGGGGTGAAGAGTAAGTGGAAAACATTGCACCTTAAAATCATAAATCCCACCTCTTTCACACCCCTAATTCTATCTTTCTTTCAATGTTTTCCTAAAACTACTTACTCTTTTACTTTGCCACTCCTGACTGCTTTCCTGTTCACCAGTGCTCAGGGGTTGAAATTAATGATAGTCAGTCCAGTTGCCTGAGAAAGTAGGAAGATGCTGACTGGGATATAACTTTTACCAGTTTAGTGTTGGATAAATTCAAAGTGATTATGCTGGACATGGACTATGTAGCAATCAGTGGTGATATATAGACATATGAAATTTAAATGCATTGTTTTGATACTTTATTTAACTGTATATTTCAGCTGAGAAAATGTCAGAACACTCTTAATTAAAAACATGCCAGTTTTTTAAGACCTGTTTTGGAGTTTGGTAAATAAAACAAACAACTCTTTAGTATCTGTTAGGTGACAGAGGGAGAAACAAGTTAATTTCTACCCCTGTTTGTACTTAATATTCACAACATGCAAGTCATGCTGTCCTCATAATTCCTTATGCAGGGCTCGAAATGGAAAATAAATCTTATTGACATCCTCTAAGTCAATTCTTATTTATCAACTACCATTTTACCTGTGGAATTTATATTTGTCATAGGTGTTATTTGGATTCCGAGCAAACAGCTGTGATAGGTATCTGAAATACAATTTCTAGCCCTGTTCATCATACCTTTCTCTGTTACATTTCCTGAAACAGAAATCCATTATGTGAAACCTGTGTTGTTAAATAAAATAAGTATTATACACCTTTCAGAGTCAAGTTAAATGTTTAATATGGAAATCATAACTATTTCAAACATAAAGCTGTGTTGAGAACTCTTGTGAGAATAATTGAAATTGAAAAATAATGCACCTAATTCAGGGGAAAATGTGAAGGATATGTTTCATTACTCCTCCCTTTGTGGGAAGATGCTTATTCATTTTAAGGGAACTGTCACTTCCAGCATGTTTACAAAATCCTACAAAAAAGATGCCGTGTCCTCTACATTATTGTTTCAAGGTTGCTTCATTTTGTTACTTTCTGCATTTAGTAAATTCTAAATGTGATTGGTTGCAGGTCAGTAAATATTAGCTTTGAGATCATAGCATCAAATATAGCACGTAGCAGTTAAACCTACATTATTACTTTCTCTAAGCAAATCAATATGTACTTTAGATTCCTATGCTGATATGAATGACATTTGAAAGAATTCTGTGTTCTTTGATTGTGGTTATTTGAGGTGCCATTGAGGTACCTGAAAAAATGCAAGCATAGCAAGAAGTTGAGCTTCCCCCACAAAAAGTTATTGTTTTACCAAATAAATTCTGAATTTCTTCGTAATTAAAATAGAGATTCTCATACAATAGGAATACACAGAAAATTATTTTAATAACTTCTTGTCTACATGTCCAATGTCATAGTACATGTATATAGTAGACAGTGCCAGGGCCAAAGTTTTAATGAGCTAACTTGCTAGAAACATTTAAATTAAGAAATAAATAGAAATGAGTACATTTCTCAATCAGCTATTGGGTTTGTAGATCCTGATTATCAAACTATAGTAATTAATGATTAATTTAGGCACAGCTATCATTGGAACTTTGTTTTATATGTTTAATGAGCAAAGTGCCTGATGCAAGACTGCAATTTGGCACCTTGCACTACTTCACGAGGGTATTGTAGTTACATGTGCAGTAACATGTTTTTGGATGGAGGTTTGATCTGGGGGAGACCAAGAATTACAGAAATTAAGTATCTTTCCATGGACAAACCATCGTTGGAAGGGCATCAGTGCAGAAAAATCGGGAGGAGTCGCACCTGTTATTTATCACCCATTCATGATCTTAGAGAAGAAAGGAGTGAGGAAAGAAATGGGGGGGGGGGAGGGAGATTAAACACCTTAATATTGAGATGTATGGAGTTTGTTTTATAATATTAATCTCATCATAGATGAGTATTCAGAGATAACTGTTCAGTAAAATGTTGTTTTTCTATAAAATCAGATACTGTATTAAAACAATCTTGCAAAATCCTATTCACTCTTTGCCTGACTCAAGTAATGTTTTGTAATAGACAACTAAAATACTATTTAGTTTCTTCATTATCATTATGGTACGGGTGGGAAAAATAGAACTTGTAACTGGGCTAATACATTTATAATGATTTTGCAAGGCTGTAGTAAAAGTTCCTGTGAAGTAGCGTAATAAGATCATACATCTATTAGAATACACCTCTGTGTTAAAGCTACTTAAAAATAGCTGTATTATTTACTGGTTTAGGAAAAACCATAATGGACTATGGGTAAGATATTTTCCCATTCTTAATTAAACTTATAACAGGAAAAACTACCGAAGATATGTTTCAGCCTCAATCCTATATAAAACAGTCAAAACAGGGATGTGGGAAAATGATGGCGCAAAGCACAGGTAAGTGTCAAGAAGGGCATGGGTCTTCACCACATGTAGCTTCAGGAAGTAAGCCAGCGAATCCAGTTTGATTTATATTTTTAATATAACAATTGTGTAGATTATATAGCATCACAAATATACACCACTGCACAAATAATTGTAAAATATTCACAAATTATTTAAAGAATATACTGCACAAAGCATCTGCACAGATTTTTAAAATAATTCACAAATGTTTGCAATTGTTCTTGGAAAGCAATAAAATATTTTGTTTGACCGATCATTTTGTTGCAATGAGTCAATTGAAGGTATTTAACTTTTTCATGCAAATAGCAGTGTGAGTTCATAAAAGTGGGGGAAAAAATTCTCAGTTGCTTCCATCACTTTCTTTTTCAAAATGTTCATTTCATGCTGAAAGGTTAGTTACTGCTGGAAGTAGGCGCTCATTACTGATGTTTATTAGGAAATGTCTTATCAAAGATAGGATCCATTGTTGCTTGTCTTGCTGTAACATATTTGATGTGATAAATAGCATTGCTGTGAATTACGTTTACATAAGCCATTTCACTTTTGTTTTTCCCGGTTAGGGCCCAACAGGTCAAAGCTGCAAGACATGCTTGCAAACTTGAGAGATGTTGATGATCTACCTTCATTACAGCCATCTGTTGCATCACCTTCTAGGCCGAGTAGCTCAAGGCTCATTGAACATGAGATAAACAGGACAGATGAAGGCAAGTATTTGTCTTTATATGTTTATATAAATGTGTATATGTTTGTATATTTATAATTATTATTATTACCTAACATTTTATATCTTATATTTTTAAAGCGTTTTACAGATATTAATGTAGCCTCATCATACCCCTGAGGTAGATAAGCATTATCCCCTTCCTCCATCACCCGGGGAAATTCAGAGAGAGATTTAAAGTCCTGAGCTGAAATTTTTTGAGGTCAGTGCAAAGACTGCAGTGAGCTTCGTGTCAGGCCGTAAGTCATTTGCCCATGTTCACCCTAGAAAACTGGCAGAGTCAGGTATAGAACACAGATCTCCCAGGCCTTAACCACAAAACTATCCTTTGCCCATGTATGATTGTACAGAAGATGTGTAGCATTTTATAATATTTGAGTACAGTGATAAGGAATAAACTCTGCAGCTAAATTAAAAGGTGTGTCTAACATGGAAACACATAGTGACTGAGTCCAGAATCATAGAGGAAGGACAGACTGCAATTTTTGCTCAGGTTGGTTGCCCATTTCTTAAATGTTATAGTGGTGTCTGTATCTAAAATTCTCAGTGAATTAGGATCGGGGTGGAAAGTCCTAATATGCCGTGCACAGTCTCTGATTCGGAATATAACACTTACCTTCACAAACACTACACCTATAAATTATTAATTGCAGTGTTTTAGCTTCAGTATTTCAATTATTTTAGTGATATACAGAATAATAAAATAAGCATAAAAGCGCCTTTTCTGATGTGTTATATGAGGCATGCTGTGATTTATGCCCAAAAGATTGCTAAATATGATTAGAAAAATGAGCAAAACATGATTTTTGCTAATAATCCATATCTCTTCCTGAAATAGTAAGAAATTAGATTGACAAAATTACAAAACAAATGAAGATGAAAAAGAGTTCCATATGGGTTAACTACTGCAGAGCACAATAGTTCAACCTCCCACATGCTTAGAGAGATGTTTTTAAAAGAAAAATGGTAACTTAGCAGCAATTTGAAATGTAGCAGAATTATTTGTGTGTGTGCGCGTGTGTGTGTGTGTGTGCTGAGCATTTCCTATCATCGCACAAGTGCCTCACTGGTGGCAAAAAACATGATGAGAGCTTTCCACATTCACTTTCTTTCAAAATATATATTTTGTAATTGAGAGCATCTGACTAGTTTATGAAAAAGGCAAAACCAAAACTCATCAGTGTCACTTCATTTTTCATTAGTGATTTAAAGTTGTTTAACATTCATTTAAAAAAAATTACATATAAGGAAGTATTAAATAAGTTAGGAATGCAAGTGAGAGAAAGGAAACTGGTAATGCATCAGTTCCTTAGTAGAGCAAAGAAGAAGAGATTAGGGTGACCAGACGTCCCGATTTTATCGGGACCGTCCCGATATTTCCTTGTTTGTCCCGCGTCCCGACCGACGTGCGGTCGGGACAACCGGACAAACAAGGAAATGCCTCGAGCCCGG